CACGCGGTCAGCAATAAGCTGTTTGAGCAGGGATTTAGAAACGTCGCTTTCAGGACTTAATTTGAAAAACAAAAAAACCAACCACTGCTTTGCTGACAACAAACACGGGCGGTGGGGAGAAATTTGCCGTCTCCGGAGTTCATAGACTCGCTAGTGCATCACCCCCCGTTGTCTGCTAGCAGGCAGGGATTAGATGGATGCAGAGTGGTAATCCTATCCTAGTTTTCAAAACAAGGCCTTATGTATAAAGAAGTAAATCTCATTTTGGGCTGCTGACTTGATTAACAGAAAATGCAGTGAAACGAGCCGGTGGGTGGTTAGTACAAATCTGCTCCCTTGGGTTGGAGCCAGCGGTGAGCGCTCGAGGGCTGGCTGCGGCAGGGATCTCCCGGTCCTGTGGTAGTGTATGGCTTTTTCCAGTCGACTCCGATGGTATCGACTGTCCTTCGGAAAACACAAACCTGGCCTAAAGTTTGGGTTCAGGTTTGATTAAAAAGTGTGTTACCATATTACCGTGTTAAAAAAAAAAAAAAAAAAAAAAAAAGGAACTTGTGTGTTCTCAGATGTTTCCTAACCTTTTCGGCATCGATCCTAAAATTCATGCAGCAGGGTTACATACCGCCAGGGGTGATGCCGTCCCTGCGGGCAGCCTGTAGACACGCTCCAGGTGCCACCTCTGCTGGCATTTCTTCTTGTGCTTGAGGCCACTTGTTGTGTGGATTAGCTGGCAGGGACAAGCCTGGGTCTGTCCTGAGGCCCTGGAGCCTGCTCCTTTGATGAGAAGGGGAAGGGGGAAGCGCAGAAATATACCCCACCTGACTTCCACCATGTGCCAGGGGATGTGAACCTTCCCAACCCGTAATTTAAGAACAATCAAAGCAACCTCCACGGCATTTATTAGGTGGTGCACGCTGCTCACTACTGTGAGAATTAAGTCCTTACATCCTGAAAACAGTTTCAGTGTTTTTAAAGCTTATTTTTCAGTTTATGAACAGAAATGTGTGTAATTACTGACAAAACCATGGCCAGTAATACAGCAGTGTACTTGAGCATCTTTTAAAATAGAAGCTTAGGTCAGAGCGAAGGATGTTTTAAGTTTTAAATGTACACTCCTCTGTTATGCTGAAGAGAGACCCTAGAACTTACAACTTTTAATTAATTTTTCACTGAAAAGTACAATTTATAACAAAAATCACTTATTTGCACTTACTTAAAATATGCTTATTGATATGCACAGACTTAATGCAGATAGCTCTTACATAAATTAATCTGTTTACTGCAAATGATAAATTAAAAATATCAGCATGTCATAAAACACAGTCATCATCTAAAACTGTTCTAAGTAAGAAACAAGTGATTTCTTTCTGCTTCACATAGACTTTACGACCGAATTGACAGGTCAAATATTGCTAATGTGATTGTTGAAAACTACTTTAGTGGTTTAGAAAAATGAGTAGGTTGAAATTGTTGTTCCCTGTGCTATTTCATTTTCCCTGAGGTGGCAACAATCCCTAGTTTGTTACGGTTTGTGACCAAGATGGGCAGCTCTGGTTCCTGCTTTGGTCAAGTTGTTTGTTTCTAGCTTTTGCTCACAAGTTTGGCAAACCATTTTTCCATCAAATAACAGACAAAGTTATGATGTGCTAATAAAGTTAGGATAAATTGCACATACTAATTTTGCAGAAGAATACTTATATTTGCCTTTTTGTGAAGAAGAATTATGTTTGTATTTCATCATATTTACGGTAGTGCATGATAGTTCATGACACTTAAAAAATGTCCTTTATCTTAAATGGAGAAAATGAGGAAAATTTAGGCCTCAGCACTTCTCTGCTGCTATTCTGCTTTTCTTTTTTTTCTTGCTGCTAACTGGATTAAAAGCCATTTTGGTTACTATGGCATCCCGTGAGGAGATTACTGTCTGTGAAGATGAAGTAAGGTAAAAAAAAATCAGAACTGTGGTATGAGCAGATTTGGAAAGATATCCACAGTTCCAGCGGTCACATATGACTGTATCTAAACTTTAAAAATTACTTAAATGAAAGGATATCTTGCCAGATCTCCTCCCCTGTGGGTGTCTGTGTGTGCAGAGTTGCATTTCTGAATGATGTAGGTAATGTTTACGAGAAAGATTACAGACAAATCTGTTAAAACAGATACTAGCTAAACCGATCATCCTATTTTTCAAGTTTAAAAGGCTAAAACACTTCCTTAGAGACCAATCAAAATACAGTATTTTAACACCTGCCAAGAAATCGCAGAACTGTCCAGGAGCAATCTGAATTCTAATTATAATTTTGTAACCAGACTGTCAGCTGAAATGGAAGTTTTAGAGAGTAGATGGATATATATGTTTTTGTATAGAGTCTGTTTAACTGTCTGTTTATATTCTGTGATATTTTATCATATTTGAATGTTCAAAAAACATGAAAATATAAGCAGTTCTGTAAGCTTATTCTTTCAAGTCTCATTTTTCATTTGTAAAAAGTGACTTGCCCTGAAGCGGTAAAGCTTTGAACTATAGACATCAGTAATTGAACTCTTTCAACAAGAATTAATTTACTTTGTTGGTGTTTCCATAGGTCTCGGTACAGCTACTTAGAGAAGATGACAGATTTGGTGGCTGTTTGGGAAGTAGCTTTAAGTGATGGTGTTCATAAGATTGAATTTGAACATGGGACCACTTCAGGAAAACGTGTTGTCTATGTTGATGGAAAGGTGAAATTGCTATGTGCTCAAAATTCACTATGATACAGATTATATAAGTGCACTTCCATGCAACAGGCATCAGAACAAACAAAAGACTAATAAATGCAAGTGAGGTATATTCAGTTGATTAACTTTACTTAATTTAATGAAATGCATCATTCTTTTTTTCAGTTACAATTAAGGTGTGAGTATTCATGAAGTGCTTTGCTGTCCTTGGGCAGAGGCACTGTAGACGTACAGAATAATGCATATGTGTTCATTCTGAAATAATAGTTAAGTACTGAGCTGTTTCCCGAGTTCTAGTTCAATTTTTTTTTTTTTATGTACTAAAACATGCATTCAAGTTCATCAGTTAATACCCATTGTCTTTGTTTTATTCTACAGGAAGAAATAAGAAAAGAATGGATGTTTAAATTAGTGGGTAAAGAAACTTTCAATGTTGGAGCAGCCAAAACAAAAGCTACTATTAACATTGATGCAGTCAGTGGCTTTGCATATGAATATACTTTAGAGATCAATGGAAAGAGCCTCAAGAAGTATATGGAGAACAGGTCAAAAACAACCAATACTTGGGTACTGAGCTTGGGTGGTACGGACTATAGAGTTGTTCTAGGTAAGTAAACATTGAATGACTTGATGCTGCTGCCTTTGAATAAACTTGTATGCATTTAATAACTGGTAATTAAGAGAAAGCACAGTTCAGTTGCTAGCTCTGTTACAGTTTAAAATCCTGTGTGGTCTGGAAGTTTGGAATTAGATGCCAAGACAGTCTGAAAAATAATGGTCTTGTTACACCTATGTGAGCCTGCTGTCAGTGTTCTATTCTACAGCAGCATGGTCTAGACTCAAAAAAAGGAAAAAAAAAAAAAAGGTTGGAAGGAGTTAGGGCTTCTCCCTAGCAAGACGGTTCTCCAGGTGAAGCATGTTATAGAAGCATTATCTTACTGTGATCAAACCTGCTGTGTGTGTAAGTTTGATAACCAGATAGCCAGGCTTTCCTTCCAAAAATCATAACCCAAAGGTGCCATGGCTAATTAGGAACTCCTTTTGGGAACTGAAAGTAAAATTCAACAGTAAATTTTTAAAATTCCTAAATCGTCTTGTCTGTGGAGGGAAAACATATTGTGTTCTTTCTACTTTTTGTTTTCTTTTTCCTTCACAGAAAAGGACACTATGGATGTGTGGTGCAATGGCCAAAAATTGGAAACAGCGGTATGTGATAATTTCCAAAGGCTTTCCACTAGCTATGGCTAGGTAACCAAAGCTTAGCAAAATAAGCCACACAGGGACACGTTACCTCGCTTTACCACAGAGTATGAGCATCCGCCTAGGCAGCCAGTACACTATTAGTGTGTTCTGAATGTCCTTCACTGTATTTTATAACTGACAGTATTTCACTTAGGATGCCAAACATCTCTCTATTTAAGGATAAACAATGCTTTTGTTTACACTTTTTAGAGAAGCAAAATAAATCTTCTGGGTCGGTTGTCCAGGGTTTTTAGGGAGAAAACTTTCAGGGGAGTGGGATGGACTTGAGTTTGATGCAGAGCGCCGAACCACCTCATCCAAACCTGCTCATGTTAGTGGTAGCTGAAAGTTGAACACGTGCAGTCTGTTACGACTCACGATTTTTTTCCATCTATAGATGGTCCCTAACACTTAGGGCTTAAGAGTCTCATTGGAACAAATCAAATCTTTTGTCTTTCTGTCACATCTGCGTTAATTTTTAGAGCAGGCTGACAGCTAGAATGCTTAAACTATTTGGTGTCTTTTTCTACTACAATGGCTTTCAATATGCATACTATATGCAGGCTTCCCCGTCCTTGAAGGATGTGTGCTCTCAGCAGAGAGTTGTCCCTGTCATTACTACTGCCACAAGTAAGCCCCTGGATGAGAACAAATTGTAAAATCAACAGTTTTGCGATACTTGAGAATAGGATATTAAAATTAATTACATAACTGCAGCAGGAGCTGCATATCCAAAATACACAACTGTTATACCCAATTCAGAGATCTCTTTGTCCCGCTGTAGACGGCACCACTAAATACTTCACGTTTTACTGCCACTTCAGCATAGGTTCGTGTGGTACTTACTGGCTGTACTGCACAGCTTGATAGGAAACTGTCTTTTCTATTTTTGTTTTACTGACACAAATCAATGCTATGAATTCACAAACTCCAACTTTACCATTTCTGATTATGTGAAATTTTTATTGTCATGTAATACCCACAAATCTTTAACTGGATGCTTTGACAAAGCCCTAGCTGAGAGTCTGCAGCTTTGTTCAGCATTTGTGCTGTATTTGTCACTGGTACCTTCGGCTGCTCTAATTGTGGAAACTACAAGTGATCTTGACTTTGGAAACAGTGTGATGCACTCAAGCTTCCGTTTTACTAAAATAGCACGTCTCATTTTATTCCTGTCTCCTTTCTCCCAGGGTGAATTTGTAGAAGATGGGACTGAAACTCACTTCAGTGTTGGTGATCACAGCTGTTGCATTAAGGCTGTCAGTAGTGGAAAACGAAAGGAAGGAATTATTCATACCCTTATTGTGGATGACAGAGAAATCCCAGAGGCTGTGGAGTAACCTCTAGTTAACTGATTATTGTAGGACTAAGATCAGGAATTTTCAATTACTGTGGTAATTATTTTAATATGTACTACTTGGTACATCTAGTTTGTGCTGGGTTTATTTTCTAGTTTCTGCATATGAAATTATTTTTGTTGAGGACCAGATGAAAACCATTATATACAACCTCTTACATTACCAGTTTTTAAAAAACTATATAGACACATAGAATATATATTTTATCACTAAGTGCAGGGAGCACAGGTGAACTTACATAGAAATTATATACTAGAAAAAAAATATCTCACTATAAAAAAATGCAAGGTAAATATTCAGTAAGTCTGAATCCTTATAGACTGCGGGCGTATGTGGAAGGAGGAGGAAGCATGTGCTGGGCATTGGAATAAGCTGTTAACATTTTCTCCATAATTTTTTCTATTAACATTTTTCAGATGCAGTTAAGAAGAGTTACAAAGTTAATAAAAAGGTTAATAATGAAATACATTGTACCAGTACTTGTGTAACAGTATTAAAATAATACTGTGCTATAAAGACTGTTCTCTATACCAGTAGGAGAAAAGATGTTACATTTTGCCAAGAAAAAAATCTTTGAGGTTTTCTGAAAACTGATGCTTGCTAGAAATTGTTGCACTAGTTCAGAAACTCTGCACTGAGTTTTTCCAAAACAGAAAAAAAAAATTCCTGCCATGAAACTCCTTTAAAAAATGAAACCTCCCAAAGCAAGCTGAAAGAAGAGCTTATTCTAGTTCAGTGCTGCCTAACAAACCTTCAGTCTACAGCTGTGTGTTTTCCTGGCAGTAATGTGTGCATCAAGAAACATGAGGAAAAATGGGACAGAAATAGAGGAGAAGAATTGGTTGCCTAAATGGAAAAGTTAAAATAGAAATAGACTAATTCTGTTTTCAAACTTCCAGCGTACTATCTAAAAGCAACCTTGGGATTTCTGTGAGAACAAGACTCATATGTGTTAGGTGGTTCTTACAAGTTCAGGGGGGGTGTTCCCATTTAACATTACACTAGAGCATAGGCTCACACGTGACAAAAGCTACCCTTTTGCAACAATGTAGACATAGCTAATCTTAAAAATAATTTTAAAAAACCCAACCAAAATATTATTATATTAATTTAAAAATTTGTTTTGCAATGGCTCAAAAATTTTTCCACTTGCAACCTCACTTACAGTTCAGAATTAGACTTTTATAACTTAACTTAATTTCTTTTGGACTTGTGAGTGGTTCCTAGCACTACTGTCTTGGCAGTTGCAGGTGCAGTACAAATGTACTGGGAATTAATTAACAAATTATTTTGAAAAGTTTTATGAAACACTAATTTCATCTGTGTTTTAGGGTTCAGACTGCTCTCCATTAGCCCAGTGCTTTACATGCGGATGAAATGCTTTTCCTATGACGATGTCATTGGTTTTTAATAGCTTTATGTGAGCCTTTCTTCTCCCCAGATAATTACAGCTTTATCCTCAGATGACTTTTCATTCTAGAAGCAGACATATTGCCACTGTTGTAAGCTGTTCAGGTGTTTGGTTAGGGCCATAACTAAAAAGTGGTGATTTAAAATGCTTCAGATTGCACAAATATGATAGTAGCTTTTAGTTTGGGGCAATAGATTTGTTTTAAACCCTGCTAACGTCAGGCATAGCTTCAGGCTTTAGTACAGAAGGTTTCAAAGTACCTGAGAGCTGGACCGAATCCTTTTACGCTGAAGTGAGTGTAATAGCTCTTAGGCTTTTCTGTTTACTGGCTTCAGGTCACTGCAGAAGCAATGTGGGGATTTCTACAGGTGACACTACCAGTATCTTCTAAAGATTACAAAGTAGATTATCGAAGAGCAATTTCAAGCTGTAGCTGGAGCCAGTTCTCTACTATTTTGTAGCCGTTCAAAGAGATTGACCACCACTGAGAAATCTGAAGCTCAAATACAGTCCAAGTCATATTCATAAGACTATATGGAAAAATAATAGGTTAGCTGACATTGTCATTCATACTTTTTATTTTGAATACATACATCTACAATGCTTGGAACGTCTTAACTAATAAACACTGTACAAGCAACTACTGTTAGAAATCATGAAGTATTACCTCACATTTATCATAACTATGTGTATTTAGTAGCATGTCCCTAAGTGGGAAACAGCTTTCACCTATTTAAGTCAAAAGAAAATTTAAGAATCAGAGGCACAACCATGATTTCCTGGGTTTCACTAATATATGCAATATCTCAGATTAAGAAAATCTAATGGAAGAATGACAACCTATGCAAACATCAAGTGTATAGTCACGTGCTCACAGCACTTTAAAGCATAACGTAAATGATCAGATAAATGTTAAACTGTATTTTATGATGCTTTGCCTTCTATTTCCACTCATAGATAATTTTGTTCTAATCTCTAAATTACTGACTTACTTTTTTTGTTCATGGGTATTTCAGAGCACTTTGCACAAGGCACTTTGATCCCAGCACGTTACTAGGTAGAACATCCTCTTAAAATCTAAGTATTAGACTTTGTTCTGAGGGGGGTCTTCACAATAGCTACAGTTCTGATTAATTCTTACTCAGGATGCTACTGGTTTCCTCAGAGGGTGGTATCACTCTCCCAGACTTGAGAACAAGTCAACAAATACTGTGGAAGGGCCCCAAAACTGTTGCAAATGACAAAGGTGTCGGGATTGTTTACATCATCTACTAAGCTGTCATATATCTTAATGTCATCCCCCTCCACTGCCAGTGGCATAATATAAGATGGCTTGCCTTTAATGTATAAGCCTGTTAATACATCAGCCTCAAACACATACATTTTAGAGTCTGTTCCCCACGTATCTTTACCCTCGATTAGGCTTTTCAGGTTCCTTTTAAAGTAGATGCCAGCTCCATATTTTTGTTCTGGAAAAAGAAAGAAAAATTTTCAGAAGGAAAAAAAAAAAGCCTTTAATAATTGATTCTTTTGGGGTGGTAGTACAAAAAGACTGCTTGATTCAGTATGACATTTTATGTTACTGCTCAATGCATGCCATCCTTTTAGAAATAAATTTTCTTTAAGTGGCTGTGATGCTAGCACTGACCTCCTACTGAAATCATGAGCAATGACAGCTGATGGCCATTCTGATTTAACTGCTACTCCAGTGGTGACCATTTGGATTTCACTGTTAATCCAATAATAAAAACATCACAGTATAATGTATTTATATAAACACTTCTGTCATCATGTGCTAGGGACTCTGATAAGCACCACAGAAGGGAATATTTTAATAATGCAAGCTACAAAAATAAGCTTTGGGATTTATAAGGAGAATGCTGCATAAAAATGCTATTACAGTATCACGTGGAAAAGTGCAAAGAAATTAAATTAGACCATCATCCTAGTTATTACTTTGAAAGTGTGAAAATGTGCCCTGTACATTGCATAGACCAGGAAAGGCAAATCTGTTTTTTGAACAGTTTATTGCCCAACATCCCAATTCTGCATTTGACAAGCAAAATATCACACCCTTCACCTATTGCAGGACGCAGTTCTAAATCCTTCTTCGTTCCGTTTCTAAAAACATCTGTCTGCTATGCTGTCTACTACAAGACTGCATAGACACCACAGCTTTTTTTCTAAGTGTACTCTAGTTTGAATGGCAGCCTGCTTGGTCCGATTATCTGCTGTCTCCAATCACATCTGATCTGAGCAGGGGCTTAGGCTAGATGACCTTCAGAAGTACCTTCCAGCCTCAATTATTCTGTGATTCTTTTGAACGTGTTTTAAAGCATTGAGCTGCTGAATGCATGTTTGCAGCAAGTAAAGAAGGACGTTGACTTTCTTTAAAGAGAGATGCAACAAAAAAAAACTTGGACCTGGCATTATGTCTACATTAACGATTCTGTCCAGAGTGTCCAGGCTAGGCTAGAATCCAGGCTTATCCTCCCAGAGCCTTACTGACTCTACAGTCTCAGGAAGCAAAACCAGGAAAAATCTTACTGTAGATAAAAAAAAAAAAGCTCATAGGACTCTAAAGGCAGGTAAGAAATAGTTCTTGTTTAGGAATGCCATTTTTTCTGATTTTAATCCAACTTTAGTAGTCAGTCACTGTTCATTTTGATTAGAAGATGCCAAAGCAAGTTATTACCTGTTGGTGGAGAATACATCCTGTGAAACCCAGTTTGGCATATGGAGCTACAGAACTCAGCAGGA